ATCTTTGTAATTAAACAGTTTTACACTTTTAATCATCTAGTATTTATAATTCTAATAGTGAAATCACTGTTTTCACGCTGTCTCCTTCTAATGCTTCATTTTACAGTCAGTTCATCTGTGGGGACGTCTAATAAAGATCCTGGGGAGGCCCCACCAGGGGCCCCTGTGCTCCCCTCTGGCTGCGATAAATCCAGGTATAGATATTTAGATGTTAGAGCTGTTGAACTCTGGTGCCGATGCTGAGTCATTTATGTTTGAAGAAACCCAAACAGATCTGATGTGTTTCAGTTTGAATCAAACCCATAATTTGGATTATTTACGTCCCACGAGCCGCTGTGGAAAAACAAGCAGCTTCTATGAAAATGAAACGTTTCACTGAAAAACCGCAGCAGCCAGTTTTTCTCCAGTTAATTACGGCAGCGCTGAAAGTTTTCCAACTGCTTCATCATCATCATCATCATCACCATCATCATCGTCATCCAGACTCAGGGTACAGAAAATGATTTTTAACTGTTGACCAAGAATCTAAAGCTGGAGATGCTAATCTACGGATGTCAGTGGAAAATATTCCCGTTTCTATAATTAGAAGATGTTTGGGAAAAAGATGGAGGTCATCAAAGGTCATGGTTTGACGGAGGAACTCTTCTCACTGACGTGACAAACGTTCACAACAAAACACAAATGGTTGCAGATCTAGTTTACTGAGTGAAAAGCATGAATCTGCCTGATGTTCTTTAATCTTTGCAGCAGGTCCAGTTTTAGACCAGAGATCTGATCAATCCACCATCTGTCATGGAAGAAGATGGACCATCTAGTTTAGGTTGTTTAAGGTCCTGCTGTTAGAAGCTCACAGCATCTCCTAAACCTGGACCTTTTCTGCTGTGATAAAAACCTTCATGCTGAAGTCAAACTTCATGATGAGTTAACTCTGCTGCATAGCTGGACGCTGATCAGACTGAAGCTTCCAGCTCTTCACATTTTAACTTTAAAACAGGCCAGAGGAACCAGGATTCCTTTGACTCCATTTTTACGCACCGCTGCCCGTCGCCTGGATCCCTGTTTAGTTGCTCTGAACTGGAAACCAAAACCTTTAAAACTTCAGAGTTTATAAAAACATCTGGTCTGGTTAGAGTCCAACGGCATTTCAGAAACGGTTCCACTTACCGACACATTGGCCCCGGCTCTCATAGAAGCCCGGACAGCAGTGGTACCTCCTGCGGTACTGGGTCCTTACCGCCTGCCTGTAGGCTGTTCTGTAGGTGATCCTGAAAGATCCTCACAATCAGAAAGTTCTGACATAAAGACCCAGAGACAGAGAAACAAGGCGGGTCAGAACCTGTGATTCTGGCATCGGTAGGACGTCCGCGGGTCCGAGCACGGAACCTCCATCACATGGTCATAAGGATGGGAGTAGGACTCCTTCACTGAGGTGGTGTAGCTGGAGGCAAAGGACAAACAGTTCTGTTGGGTTCTGATCCAGTCTGGCTTTAACCCCTTCAGCCTGGTGGTTCCGGTACCAGGACCGACCGACACCTGGTTATCTATTTATAGAAATGGCCCAAACACAGTCACATGGTGTTTCATCCACACGCCTTTAAAACTGGGGCTTTAAATTGTTTCAAAATAATTTTTAACATGAATATTTTTGTTTAATAGCTGCGTAAACAAATAAAATGAGAATTAAAATTCCACCTGACGTGAGTGACTCTGCCGGAATAATGCAACAGCACCTGATCAGTTTTAGCCCCGCCTCCTAACGGCCGGCATCACTGGAAACTAGAGATTTAAACCTTTCCAACGAGGTGTCGGACATTACTAAGCAACTGTTTCAGGCGATGTAAAAGGCGTGCTAACGAATGCCTGCTGGGAGCGTAAAGCTCTCCGTATATCAGCATCAGTTCACGTTACGCTCGGCAGCCTGGAGGTTTGCTCTGCGCCATGGATCCTGCTTCACCTTCCGTTTCTCTCTATCAGTTTATTTCAATGAACCGTGACGGCTCAGAAGAGGAAAATGACCCATTTGGAAGCTTAGAGGAAATCTTGCGAGCAGTAACGGTGAAATGAGAAATCATTAGACAGCCTGGAGGGTGAGGAGGAGGAAGAGG